CATGATAAAAAGAAGTTAGTACTTTCTTAGAAATGAGGTCATCAGTATCACACGAGTTGTATAGCACCATTTAATAACTACTTTATTCACTGATGAAACAATAATTAAATTGGATGAGCTATGATCATGTTTATAGTAATATTTTACGGTAAAAGTACTGTATATAAGGGTGAGAGAAACAGAGTATGTGTGCATGTATGATGAAAAAATAGGAGTTGTCAGATCTACTAGCATATATACTTCTTTATCAAATCAATATGAGGTTGATAAAATGAGGACCTAGATTGTTGGGGGCAATATGCTGACTGTAAACCGTTTAGAGAGGGCTGTGAAGTGGTATCTAAGTCTAAGTGCTATTGCTATTACTATTTTGCATTGAAAAGTTCAGGAACTATTTAGGGCAGCATTTACATATACTGTAGAAAATCATGCACAAAATTTTCATTTTACAACAATGTGAAAATAATGAAACATCAAATGTAAATAAAAGAGAAAGGAAAATAAATTAACAATTTGCACATTCCTAATAAACACAACTTCTTTGCCAATTTTTCTCTGATTAAAAAAATTGAGGAATGTGAAAAGCTCTGTGTAAGTTTGTGACCTTGAGTTAGACTCCCAGAGCTGTTGTGTTGTCCTACTATGGGTGATTACTCTTCTTTCTTTCTTTCTTTCTTTCTTTCTTTCTTTCTTTCTTTCTTTCTTTCTTTCTTTCTTTCTTTTTTGTATCTTACAGTAGTGTTCTTTGCTATATTTTCTAAATGTTGCTATTGATCCATTCTAGAAACTAAGTTGAGAAGCAAATGGATTTGTATAGTGAACACGAAATAGCAGCAATTAAAGATAATGGAGGGAAATGATATCAATTAGAATGGGGGGTTAGTCTTTTTTTAATAGCTATATTTTTATGACTGCTACTAACAGCTATTATCTGCTGCAATCTGTCTTAGCTAGATACCATTTCTAACCAAGGATAATAGCAACCATTATGTCAAAAGGAATATTTGCAGTTTGCAAACAAGATAGTGAAATGTAGGTTTCATTGATTTGAGATCATTGTTCTGAAATACACATTCCAGGACTTAGTATATAGAGTAACAGGAAATGTAACTCTCCATTAGTGCCTCATTTTGCTTCTGAATTTCCTGTGCTTTTGAGTAATGGTACCACTCTCTATTCACACTTAAAGGAAAGAAGTTTAAAAAAATGCACGTAGCCAATGCTTCCATGCCATAAGCCATTTATGTGGCAATATAAAAGGCCAGTAAACAGACAAATAAATACTTCAGAGAATATATGAATTTCTTTAGCTTTTGCACACCACAAATGAAATTTCAATTCTTTATTAAGGGGTTTCAATCATGATATGTGTACGTGTATATGTCAAAAGAGGCCTTTCAAGTTTTGAGTTATCATCCTACTCTTAAATCAACAATACAAAACATGGAGCCATTCACAGTTCCCATACAACAAAAATTGAGACCTTGTAATACCTAGACACATCTGGTAGTCATATTTGGAAACAGAATGTGGCACTAGATGTTTCTTCCAGCAAAAAAAATCAAATTAATTCACTTGATTGTATGATTTTTAAAGGTCAACGCCAAATTAAACAGTTTATGTCTCAGATTTGAGAAATGATCTTTAGCAATTTAAACCTAGAGCATTTGAATGTTATTGTTTGAATAACCTTTTCCCATTCTTTGTTAACCTATTAGAAAACTCTACCTGCTAGCAGACTTGCTAATGAGATGGTAATTTGGAGGGTAATAGATCTTCCAGGCTTGTAAAAGTTATGTAATACAGTTACAGCAGACGAATGAAAATTTAACTTGGCAGGCCAGCATTTCTACTGTAGCACAGTATTTGTTTTCTCTGCAGCAATGTGTAGCATGGAAAAGCCTCCTATTAACACAGTTTCCACTTAGAAACATAGGCCAAAAATTATACACTGAAATAGATTTGTAAATGGGAACTGGAAGACGAGGCAGCTTCGTGAATAATGTGTAAGATTCTTAGCCGCATCTAGGCAGAAGTGAATTACTGTACATCACAGCAATTAGAAATGGATTCCCATGCTCATCTCATTTTACAGCTTTCACATCACAAACCACACAGTAACAATGAAAGTGATTCCCCAACAAATTCCTAGATGGCAACAGTATTTTCCAAGAACTCTGAAAAGCAGTCATAGTTTGGAATACATTGCTCTGAGGCTTCTGAAAGACTGACATCTATCTCACTGGCTTTTTAGTTATTTACTTATGTATCATATTTGTATAGCCATTCATCTCACATGAAAGTGAGATATTTTGTTGTTGTCGCTGCTGTTGTTGTTTGAAAATGTAAGATATAAAATGATTCCCTAGCCTTCCTTTTTCTTCTTATTGACCAGATAAAAAGAAGAAAGTTTTCAGGTTAACAAAAATGCTTGTATAACATTCATCCTCTCTATAAAACTTATGGAGAGAGAAAGAGGGATGAGCAGAGGGAGAAGGAAAGTGGATTGATGTTCCCTGAAGTAGTATTAAAAATATGGCAATTGTTAGTTTCTGCTTTTCTAAAAGTGGGATGGAAAAACAAGCGGTGCTTTGAAGAGAGAGCATCTCCCTCAGTTCAAAGCCTTCGCTAATCCTGAAGGCAGTCTTCATCTTAAAGAGTTACCCTGAAGCAACATCTTGCTGTTAAAGCTAAAACTGGGACAGATGTTGCTCTTTGCAACTTAGGTAGATGCATTTTTCACAGGAGCATTTGAAATAATTGAATTTCCCATTGCAAATAAAAGTGATCCAGTGACTTCTTGCCAATAAAGAGCTGCTTCCTTTCCATTCATCAAAAGGTTAAGGGGTGAACTACGCGGCTTCAAGCATGGAATCCAATAGAGAGAGACTGGATGCCTTGTAACTGATGGAATCTAGTAGCGATTCCATTTTTTCCCCTCATTTATATGCCACCCAACTCTCAGCAACTCTAGGTGGTTTACAAATTATTAACATTTAATAACAATACATGAAAAAAAAAACCCCAATGAAACAAAGATAGCAGAGAAAGAAAAACAAATACTGATGGAAATGAAGAAAGTGAAGAAAGGGGTACTAATTGTTCTGACCAAAGACCTGGCTGAAGAGCCAGGACTTCAGGGTCCTTCAAAACATCAGTATTGGGCAAGTGTTCAAATTTTGCTGGGAACCTCATTCTGGAGAACAGATGCCGCTATAGAATAGGTCCATGTCAGGATCCTGAAAGATGGCATTGTTTAATCCATGAAACCCATATCATACCAAACAGGCCTTGTCTGTTAAGATGTCTCCCCTCTAAAATAAGCTTCCACCTGAGACCCATGCAACTCCCACCTGATTGTGTGTTGGAAAGTCTAAAGATTTTCAGGCCTTGGGCTGAGATGGGTAAAGGGTGCAATGGTGGATATATTTGTATAGGGAGGTGATATGGACCAATTTGCCATTTTGTTCTCTTTATTGCATTTCTTACCTTGTCTTTAAATCATCAGCTGCTCAGAGTCAGTCTAGAGTTAAGCAATGCTTACATTGAATCATCTGAATTTAACTAAATCTTTTAGATTTATCATTTGTACCTATGTCTGTCTGTCTGTCTGTCTGTCTGTCTGTCTGTCTGTCTGTCACTGGCTGTTGTTCACTTCTTTTATTAGATATGTTCTCAGTCCTTTGCCTCAAGGTCTGTTGAATAGATTTCTGTTTTCTCTTTTCATATTTGTGGTTACAGAGTATTGAATGCTGGATGTACACCATTGATAAAAGATAGGAGTGGGGCAAAGTGCAATGACTGCTGACATGTATACAATTGTCATATCCGATAAGAATAAGGTAATCACTGTAATCACTCAGGGACTTTATTCTCCAAGAACAGTAGTTTGTTTGTTTTTTTTTGTTTGCTTGTTTATATCCTGCTTTTATTATTTTTATAAATAACTCAAGGAGTCAGGCATACCTAATGCTCCTATTTTTCTCAGAACAAATAATAACAACAGTAAGGTGGGTTCGTCTGAGAAAGATTAACCGACCCAAAGTAACCCAGCCAGCTTTCATGCCCAAAGTTGGAGTAGAATTCACAATCTCTTGATTGTGCCTTAGGCCAAATCGATGGTGTCATCATCAGATTAAGTTTAAAAACTTTTCAGAAGAATTCAGTCTTTGTCATAGCCAGTAAAACTTTCAGGACAAATGTATTCCAAGGGATGCCATTCTGGCTAATACTCCCCTAACCTCACAGAAATGAGGGAATAAAAGTACCAGACTGGTATTTGTACTTTAGCTAGAGATAGTGTAGAAACTCCCTGACACCAGCAATGAGATTCAGTCCAGGAGCTCAGATAGGGATCCTGTCAGGCAGCAGATGGCCAGGACGCAAGCAGGATTTTCTTGCTTGTCCCTCTGGCCAAACTGCAAAGAACTATAGAAATGATCATACAAGAAAATATGTGACAGCTAGCAAAACATGAATGGAAGAATATGTTAGAAAGAAAATATTATTTTCTTTCTAGATATTATTGATATGATATGATATGATAATAAATATAAAAGAAGCAGGGAAAGGAAAACACTCTGTTTTTCAAAATTCAGTTACAGTAGCTGCATCAATTAAATAGAATTACAGTATTTCTTGTAGGCTTGAAGTAGGCCAACTAAATCAAGTCAAGGAACAAAAACAGAGTGGAGTCATAAGTGGTGGACTAGGATTGCTAACTGGATTTCTACCCACAGCATTCACTCATTTGACCTTGGATTGGGCGAAGTCCCATCTTCATCTAGTATTTATTTTGTTAAAGTTCCAATCAAATATTTTTAGGCAGTGCAAGCATTTATCAATGTGTCTTCCATGAATGTGTCTAATTCCTCTTTAAAGGCCGTTCAGGTTAATGGCCATCATTAAGTTTTCTGATGATTAAGTCCGCTGTTAATTATGTGTTGTGTAAAAAATGCTTTGTTTTGCCTGCCCTCACTCTCAGTCCATTTTTTTAACAGACTGCTTGAAGAAATGAAGAAGATCACTTCATCAGTTACCTTGCACCCCGTCAATGTGCCTCAAAAATCTGCTGCAGAAGATTTAGGACTGAATCCCAGAAGAAGAGTTCAACAAGGTCCTGGGATTGAAAACAACAGCAGCAACAACAAAAATCTCATCTTCAGCTAGTTTTCTGGAAAAATAATGAAACTTTTTTATTCATGGAAGGGATTCTTGGATTCCTAGATAGTACATAATTTTGTCTCCATTTCAGGTTTGTAATGCTGCTGGTACTGGCAAAATAAAAGACAGAGTCTCCATTATATTAGGTTTTTTTTTTTAATTCAATCAGTAACCATAGAATATAATGTCCAGGAATATTGGCTGCATTTTTAGACTTACCTGCTTTTACTGTGTGGAGATTCTCTCTCTCTCTTTCTCTCATCTATCTATCTATCTATCTATCTATCTATCTATCTATCTATCTATCTATCTCCATCCATCCATCCAGCGGCGAAATCTAAAATTAGTTATTACCGGTTCTGTGGGCATGGCTTGGTGGGGGGGTGGGTAATGTGACTGAGTGGGCATGGCCAATTTTTTTTTTTACTTTTAAAAGCATTTTTTCTACAACCTCTTCAGCGAAGAGGTTGTAAAAAAAAATGCTTTCAAAAGGCTCTGACGATCCCCAGCTGAGTTGCCTGATTGGCAGAGGCTTTTTTTCTTTTAAATGCCTCTGACAATCAGGCAACTCAGCTTGGATCGTCAGAGGCTTTTAAAATAGAAAAAAAGCCTCTGCCGATCAGGCAACTCAGCTGGGATCTTTGACGATCCCAGCTGAGCTGTGAGATCATCAGAGACTTTTTTTTTAAAGCATTTTTTCGGCTGAAGAGGTTGTAGAAAAAATGCTTTTAAAAGTTAAAAAAAATGCCTCTGATGATTGTGCAGCTCAGCTGGGCATGGGGGGGCAGCAGGGATTTTTGCTACCGGTTCTCTGAACCCCTGCCTCCATCGCTAACCAGATCGGGCGATACGGTCTGAACCGGGAGCATTTCACCCTGTATCTATCTATCTATCTATCTATCTATCTATCTATCTATCTATCTATCTATCTATCTATCTATCTATCTATCTATCTCTGATATATAGCTATATAGCTACCCAATTTTTTTTACTACCGGTTATGTGGGCATGGCTTGGTGGGTATGGTGTGGCTTGGTGGGCATGGCAGAGGAAGGATACTGCAAAAATCCCCATTCCCTCCCCGCTCCTGGAGGAAGGATATTGCAAAATAAGGGGCGTGCTTAAGCACATCAGCATGCCTACCATCCCTGTCCTAATGTTCCCTTTTATTCGTATCCATTTCATGTATTCATAATCATATTTATACTTGTATCCGTTATCAGATACATGTTTGACGAAGCAAATAAATAAATAAAATAAACAAAATCTCCATTCCCACCCCACTCTGGGGCCAGCCAGAGGTGGTATTTGCCGTTCTCTGAACTGCTCAAAATTTCTGCTACCGGTTCTCCAGAACCTGTCAGAACCTGCTAGATTTCATCCCTGATATATATATATATAGTAGCAAGTAACAAAAATAAAATTTCAGGGAAACTCCATCCTGTGGTGCTGTTTTTCTTTTTTTCTAAATTTTCTAAATTTTACCTCTGAAATTGATGGAAGATGTCTACATCTATTTGAGCATGGAATAACACTACCACTATACATTAAACGTATTTTAAAGCATCAAGATGCATTTTCATCATCGTTATGGAGTGGAGAACGAACATCCTTCACTTGGTCTTGGACTAATTCCATATAACATTTATGTGAGATAATAATCCAGCTTGACTATTTTTATAACTACATTAATAATGAATCTGTGATCAACACTTTTTTTTAATAACACATGTTGCCAAAGGGTCTACTTCTATTATTGCTAAACTGATAAAGCAATGAAGCCGCAATAGAATTCAAATGGAAAAAAAAAAAGTGGCTGAGATGGAATGAAATTGAGATCCCTCCAGGAAAAACATGAAACACATCGTATACATTTTCATCAGCTTATTTTTCATGAATGAATTTAGATTATGGATCGTTATATTTCTGATACTTAAATATTTTCTAAGATTAAAATATTTCTGAATTTTTATTAGGCGATGAAAGTCCCGCAGTGCAAATGTTTGTCTACATATGAAGGGTTTGCACCATAACCAAGCAAATACAGTTGAAAAAAAAATTACATATGAGAAAATAATATATAGCAACTTTACTCCAGATCAGAAAATAGGGTTTATTGAATTATTTTGCTAAAAAATATCAGATGCTTCCACAAAAGCTAAATTTTCAATGTTTAGCACATTTTGACAAAGAGTTGCTGAATTTGGAATGTTTAGATTTAAAAACCTGTTTGAACCTAGATGAGATTTATTGGTAATATTACATTGTTGTTATAGATTTTCTTCTGAACAATATTCAGGAAATTCTGGTAATCTAGGGCCAACTCAAAAACCTAAGCATATTTAAATTGCAAATAACTAAACTCTATTGAAACTGGTTATGGATTGTGGATTTGAAAGATTGGAGGAAACCTAGTGGATTAATTTGGATTTGGATTATTAATGCTATTTGACAGAACACACTATGAGGCAAAAGAAGAAAGAAGAAAAGAAAAAAGAAGAAAAATGAAACAAGATTTTAAAATTTGGACAGTTGGGAAGACAAATAACTGGAAAATCAAAAGGCTGTAAAATACTAAAGAACTTTAAAGATTATAAATTTAGGAGATGTGTAGTTATAACTATGGAATTGACTAAATCTTATTAATAACTGGCTCTGTTGGAGCTTTTAAATATTGAGATGTTGGAACCATAGAGGTATATTGAGTAATTTTTATCAAATTGTTACAAAATGGAATATCAAGGGATAATAGAGGGATATGAAGAAATAATTTTGATGCTCAAAAGCATGCATAAGACTATAATGAACAATAAGGAGACAAGGGGATTGTTTAAAGATAAAGAAATGAGTGTAGAAGCCTCTCAACAACTGGAGGAAAAAGATGAACATGATATTCAGAAAATAGATGAGAAATTAGACGAAGCAGTGGAAGAGAAAAATCAAAATGAGATGCAAGAAGACAAAGATCATGAAGAGAAAGGATTGATAAGTAGGAATCAAATAAATAATTCCTTAAAAGTTTATAATAGAACAGAGAGAAAAATCTCTTCAAAAAAAAAAAAGAAAGAAAATTCTAAAGAAAAGAAAGAAAAAAAATCTTTAAACAAAAGAAAGAAAGATTGATGGCTGGGTTCCCAAATGATACAGCAGAAAGAGACAAAGGGCAACCCAAAGGGAATACTCAGTGGGTATAAAAGTATCAAAAAAAGTTATAAAATTCCAAAAGAGAGAAATAAAAGGGTGATTAAAAAGTCAATAAATGATGGAACTCCAAAAAGGTTAAGAGATGATGGATAGTGATAAAATATATTAATAAAATGAAAAAGTAGAAAATACAAATAGGGAAAATAGTAGTATGTATATTAACAGATAATAGAATTTATTATAATTAAAAATAAACTAAGGTTAGAAGGTAGAAGTTTAGGATTAGGTAATTAGGTAGCTCGTTCCCTCTGGAACGAGCTACCTCCCAGAATACGACTGATCCCGGATCTCCGCACTTTCCATAAGGCCCTGAAGACATTTTTATTTCAGCAAGCCAGCCTGGCCTGAATAGGTTTTATGGGTTAGTTTTTAATTGTATAGCTTGGGGTTTTAAATTGGGAGACCAATTAATTTAATTTATTTTTAGTTATCTTAACTTTTATATTGTAAGTTATTTTAATTTTCGTCTGTTCACCACCCTGAGTCCCTTCGGGGAGAAGGTGGGTATATAAATTCAATAAATAAATAAATAAATAAATAAATAAATAAATAAATAAATAAATAATTGTATTATTAATATTAACAGTGTGTTAAAATATATTGTGAACTTAAACTTTTAAGTATTAGAAATTGTGGGGACTTTAAGATATAATCCCAGGAGTGATTAAATTTTGTTAATATTTGGCCTTATTATTAGTCATAGACATTTGGGATATTGAAATTATGGTGGAATAATGAGTAATTTTTAAAATATTAAATATTAGTGACTTAGTAGGGGATAACAAATACATGGTGCAAAGAAATGTTATTTAGGTGTAAATAAATGAATGGGAAAAAATGATAAAGAATTATAAAGAGAGAATGGTATTGTTGAAGTTGGAAGATTAGGATTAGACATACTTATTTGTATTATTATTGTTAGCATTGTTTAAAAAAGACATTGACTCAGTCAATACACTGTCCACAAAATATGTATGTTGTGAAAGGAAAACTGCAAATAAAACATGAATTAAAAAAAAAGAAAATAAATCAATATTAGTAGAGTTAATACATGGCATTTGTGTGTTTCAATATGGTCTTTATGAAATGTAGGAAATTTCATCTTCTTGGCTGCATAACTTTATGAACTATTTCTGTGCATATCAGAACAAAGAGTAATTGGTGAGTGAGTATCAGAAGTCTAAAAAAGGGAGTGCATCTGTAGTCCAAATGTAATGTTTTTGAGTTATGCTGTTGGCATAAGAAGCATACTTTTCAACAGTTTAATGAGAAATATATACCTATTTGAATTAGAATGATTAGTATCTGGTGTATATCCATCAAAGGCATTCCTAAAGAAGATCAATTTCCACTATACTGGAAGAGGGTAGAATCAGGGGTGAAATCCAGCAGGTTCTGATAGGTTCTGGAGAACTGGTAGCGGAAATTTTGAGCAATTCAGAGAACCAGTAGCAGAGATTTTGAGTAGTTCAGCGAATCAGTAGCGGAAATTTTGAATAGTTCGGAGAACCGGCAAATACCACCTCTGGCTGGCCCCAGAGCGAGGAGGGAATGGGGATTTTGCAGTATCCTTCCCCTGGAGTGGGGTGAAAATGGAGATTTTTCAGTATCCTTCCTCTGCCACGCCCACCAAGCCACGCTCACCAAGCCATGCCACGCCCACCAAGCCACGCCCACAGAACCGGTAGTAAAAAAAAATTGGATTTCACCACTGTGTAGAATATACAGGGGGAACAAAATATTTCCAGATCAGCAATGATTTCAGTATCCATTGAATCATAGACCTTAGAATAATGGTTAGGGAACTGCAGCCAGCATTCCTGGGAAGCCAACACTGTCCAATACAAGACTTTTTCATTCCAGGAGGTTTGGCTGCATGAGTTGCTGTTTTATACAGGCTTTAGGACATGTCTCATTAGAAAATAAATTCTGAGGG